AAGAGAAGGGGTTAAGAACACCAAACCCTAAAACAAGAGAAGGGGTTAAGAACATTAAAACCCTAAAACAAGAGAAGGGGTTAAGAACACCAAAACCCTACAACAAGAGAAGGGGTTAGGAACCCTCAAACCTTATGTTATATCAATCCGAATACAAGAGAAACCACTGCTTTGACACCATGGCGTAGACCAGCCGATTTGGGACATGATCTCTACACATAGCGTTAAAACGCTTAACACTGTCCCAGTGGTTCAGTGACTTACCTACGGGCCACAACGAGAGAGTGAGCAGGAAATAGTCTGTCATCTGCAGCACAGCAAAAACCCAAACCCTAAATTTTAAAACTCAGTCCCAGTGGCTCACAGTGACATACCTACAGGCCACAACGAGAGAGTGGGCAGGAAAAAGTCCGTCATCTGCAGCACAGCAATCTCCAGCCACAGGTCCATATCCTGCTTGCACCAACAACACACCAACACACCAACATATCAAAACACCCCCAAGGAAGCAATTAGCGACAACTAGCTGGTGGGATCAGTATGGTTGTGACTTTGATTGACCAATGCATAGCCAGAACTAACGTATGCTGTAGTAACAAAGTGAGCACTGCTATATGTAGCGGTGCCGAGAAGTGGCGAACGTTGAACTGTTCCAGCTGACCAGAGCATCGAATTCCAAGAAAGCATAACGCCAACACCAAAGGATTTCATACTGATGCAAATGCACGGTGTGTATAAGGCAGAGGAAACCCCGTCCACCCAAAACTGGTGATTTTCTAGGAAAAATACAAAATACGACAAGCTCATACAACGCAATAAAGTCGGTTGGCAGTACTACTGTGAGGACTTATAGACACATGTCTCAGGCCGCAGCCACTCATGAGTCATATGTAAAAGCAAAACAGCAAGAACACCTTCCACTGCGTATCATACAAACGCATACCATCACTAAACCCTAAAACCCATACCATCACGACATCGTACAAGCTGTTCGTCCCTGCAAGTCAAGGCAAAGGGAAAGTTGGCTGAGCATTAATGCCGCAGATCAGAAGCTGCCGTCTCCTGCATTGCACACAGGCTCTTTGTACGGGGCATCAGGCCAACCGTATACAGACGCTTCACATGTGCGTATGAAGCAGACGTAAAAGCATATGGGCATCAGGCCAACCGTATACAGACGCTTCACATGTACGTATGAAGCAGACGTAAAAGCATATGGGCATCAGGCCAACCGTATACAGACGCTTCACATGTGCGTATGAAGCAGACGTAAAAGTATATGTCTCTCGCGATCACAGACGTCGTGTAAGCGCACGCACCATACGAATGAGCGGACAGAGATCTCGCTAATTGGCACTGACATTGTTTTGAACAGCCCGTACTGACACTGGTAATACTGTATAACGGCACTGACTTTCTTCGTATTTCTGCTCTCCCTACGATTTAAGCCATTGCCAGTGATAGGACACTGGTAATACTGTATAACGGCACTGACTTTCTTCGTATTTCTGCTCTCCCTACGATTTAAGCCATTGCCAGTGATAGGGTCAGACACTCACCAGGGCACCCCCCTAAACCGCACTCTGAACACACTCATCATCAACATGGGTCTGAGACACACTCATCCTGAACATGGTCCATGGTCTGTGCACGCACCTCTGACGCTGATGATGGCCATGCCCGTGGTGTTGTGTCGGATGTCGTAGAAGTAGGGGTAGCCGTCAGTCGTTGCGTTGTAGTGGATGTACCATCCCGTCCCGTCTGTTTGGTTGGCATTGAACCATGTGTTTAACTCCTGCAAATGGCCGTGTGCAGAAGCGATAGAAGGGATCACGTGTGAGAAAAGTGGACCAAAGACGAATAAGGTCACCAATGGGCAAGACCAGTAGCCAATGGCCATGTGGACAAGCAATCACGTGTGAGAAAAATGGAGAAGAATAAGGGCTTAAACCCAAAAAAAACCAATGCGAGTGCCTCTGAAGAGACTATCGAACACTCAACTCACAAGCGTGTCGTGTGCACTTTAAACCGCTTTGTGCGATTTTTGAATCTGTTGTGTCAACAAAAGCGTTCGCTTTGTACAAATGTGTCCATATGTGGCGTTGCACACCGATTGTACCAGACTATTCGAGAACACTTCAAACCGTACGAGTCGAATAAAAACCTTCTCCACAACAATCAATGAGTGTGCATACACGCTGCTGTTGCAATAATCCAACATCCTCAAAGGAAGCACGCACACGCACCCTTTGCACCACCTCCATTGGGGCGTAGGCGACCTTGGACATGTAGGCCATGTCCATGATACTCATCGCAGTGGGCCCGAACGTGACATCACACGACGCAAAGCTCGTCGGCGACGGCGCAATGGGTGCACTAACCAACGAGATAGGCTCACTGGTATCTGTGCAGAGGCGAAGGAGAGATGAGTCATAGGTCGCGCTCATGGCGATGCACGCGTTCACTAACTACACAGAAGTGTCAAGCGAAAGGGCTGAGCGGAGGAAGTACACAGACGAGACAGTAAGGGGGTGGTGGCAAGCGAGTGGCATTCGTAAGTAGCTAAGGGCAGCATTCTGTGTACGGAGATGCCCATGGCCTAGGGAGAAGTTTAGTTAGACTGATCGTTGTTCGCTCGTAATGGATAGTTATATTATATATATATATATATATCGGCATTCTATTGATTACAAAATTTGTGACAAAGATGTAGCACAGCTGTCATGTACACCTTAGCCATCGCGAGTGGTACTGAGTGCGCGTGTGGGTGCGCGTGTCAATCGGAATCATTCTTGTGCATGTGTACATCTATACTCTACTTGTTATAAACCTTGGAGATATTGAGTACTGCTGATATAAACTTTGGAGTTACTTGAGATTGCGGGATAACCCATTTTAGCACATGCAGATGAATGCACCGTCCCGTGTCATTTGGCGACAGTAGCGCTGTGTTCATACCATTGTTGTCGTCGTTCTGCTGCAGACTGTACGAGAAGACACTCAGCACTACACCCACAGTCACAAACAAGATGAAGAGGAACCAGAAGGCCTCCATGGGATATGCTCTGCAGACGAGATACAACCGTGTTAGTGTGAGATAAATGTGATTTCGTGAGTATGAGAGCGAACCATAAGTCCCTAAACCCACGATCCGCAGCAATGCAGCGCTAGTTGCCCGAGACGGGGAGGGGCCTCAGCTACACACAGAACAAAGTGCACTTGATGAACTACATACACTCAGAACAAAGTGCACTTGATGAACTACGTGCACACACAACAAAGTGCACTTGATGAACTACATACACACACAACAAAGTGCACTTGATGAACTACGTACACACAGAACGAAGAGCACACCGGTACAAGTACAAAGCCAGAGACAAGCAAGCGATTCAAGCAGAGCTCACAATGACGCATAACGCGGTAAGCGCGTGGCGTTTGCACGAATCTGGTACATACGTGAACAGTATACGTCGACACAACGTCTTGTCATAGCACAGATGTAGCTTGCTATGCCACAGACGACTTACCTGCGGAAGGCCTTGGTGGTTATAGTTGATATCACACTGAACAGCAGAAACACCGCCAGGAATAGCAGAAACCCTGCCATGAGAAGGTGTCATCAATAAGTACATAGGCCATGAGAAGGTGTCATCAATACGTACATAGGCCATGAGAAGGTGTCACCAAAGAGTGCATACGTCATGAGAAGGTGTCATCACCGAACAAATATACGTTGAAGGCGTTTAAATCATCTAAACGCACACATATATGTTGGTGGCGCTTAAATCATCAAAAGCACAAATATGCGTTGATGGCGTTTGAATCATCCAGCATAAAAATACGTGGAAGGCGTTTAGAGCTGGTACTGGATCTATGACGACGGAAGCTAGCATCCCCACTATGGATATCACCCCCTCTCAAATAAACAAAGGGACAGCCATACATACAAAACTCTAGAAACACCCGGTGTCACGGCCTACCCACACCTACCGTCTAGAAAGGTGCCCTCCGCCAGTATTGTCAGATACACAATTCCGCAGACCACACCAATGAAGGAAACGAACATCAAGATGTATATCAGATACTCGTTCATGGCCTTTATGATCCGCACATACTCGGCCGCAATCTCACGACGCTCCACTATACGAACCACCTGTGAACGCGCACGCGATGGAGCGAGAGAGAGAGGCAATGCATTTGCAGGTGATGGCAGCGCAAGAGAAAGGTCACACAGCGATCAATGATAGGCGTTTACAGCAGTAGAAGCACCCTGGACAGCCCATAGAACACCGTCAGATACAAACACACAACAAACAAAGGAAGGTACAAACATAAAACCTACAAATTAAGGCACAAACACAAAACAAACAAAGTAAGGTACAACACACAACACCACAGCGAAGAATGGTGGCGCACCTTACGACTCTTGAGCCACAGGGCCATGATAAAGCAGTAGAACAACCCCCAGAACAGCCCATAGAACACCGTCAGATACGCCACGATAAAGGCCACTCCGCCCTGATGCTCTACAGACGCTACGCACAGCCAGATGGATCTGATGGAGCAGGAGAGGCGGTTGATTAAACACGGAATAGAAGAAAACAACCCCCCTCTCGAGAAGTGTAATATAGACAAATGGGAAATAATATGACGCTTTAATTGTATTTGTGAGATATCAGCCGTACAGATTTGCGCCGATTCAACCAGACAATCCCCAAGAGAAGACCAATGCATTGCTTCGTATTTGTTATGTCACAGCACACAGAGTGATATGAAAGCATAGCAATAGGTAACACACTCCAATAGAGAGCACTACACTGGCATAAACCACTTAGCCATGGAAAACACACACACACTCTAACGTAAACTACTCAGGTATGGAAAACACACACACTCTCTAACATAAACCACATCAGCTTTGCAAACACACACTCACTCTATCACAAACCACATAACCATGGAAAACACACACGCACTCTAAAATAAACCACTTAGCCATGAAAAACACACACGCACTCTATCACAAACCACATAACCATGGAAAACACACACTCTCTAAAATAAACCACTTAGCCATGAAAAACACACACGCACTCTATCACAAACCACTTAGCTATGGAAAACACACATGCTCTACGCAAAACTGGTTGATTGCAATAGGACCATGTAGCTTGTTCGCCGCAGATCTTCGTACGATTGACTACCGAATACGGCAACAAAAACAAAACGATACTAAAGTACCCATGAGAGACATACTGAGATTTTAAGAGAATGGGCAACAACAGACTCAGCCAAGTCAATGCCAAAGTACCCATGACAGACATACTGGGATATAAATAGAATGGGCAACAACAGACTCAGCCCAGTTAATACTAAAGTACCCATGATAGACATAATGAGATATAAAGAGAATGGGCAACAACAGACTCAGACCAGTTAATACTAAAGTACCCATGACTGACATACTGAGATATAATGAGAATGGGCAACAACAGACTCAGCCCAGTTAATACTAAAGTACCCATGACAGACATACTGAGGTATAAAGAGAATGGGCAACAACAGACTCAGCCCAGTTAATACTAAAGTACCCATGACATACTGAGATATAAATAGAATGGGCAACAACAGACTCAGCCAAGTTTTGCGGTTCCTCACGTGGTAGTCTGGAATGAAGCGGTAGATGTACTCGCACCCCTCGAGGTCAGTGCTATAGCGATCCTGTGAGAGCAAAGCAAAGGTATAGGTATACGCATGAGCACCACAGGGCACTACATCAATGAGACGTCCACTTTAATCACGAAACGGACAATGAAAACCCCTAAAAACGGACAATGTAAAAACCCTAAAAACGGACAATGGAAACAGGAAAACAGCAAGCGCATCACATGGCTGAAGGGCACAAATCACGTTTCAGACTATGCAGTCCACGTAGGCCCCAGAAACGCCTAGGGACCCTAATCACAAACCCTAAAAATTATACCATAAACCCTAGAAAATCTGATCACAAACTCTAAAAACTCTGTTCATAAACCGTAAAAAAACTCCATCCATAAACTTTAAAGAATCCAATAATAAACTTTGAAAAATCTTATCCACGCCTACCTGGCCAGCTACTCTGGAGGCCATGCGGGCCAATCGCGAGGGCTTCGCGGACAGATTTTCTGCTGACGTCTGTGGCACCTCAGTCTGTATTGTTTGTTTCATATGATATATGATATATTATACATATAATATTAGATGTTTAATCATTGAATATTAAATATTAACTTAATTTATGGTAGGCAATACATACAAATCATATGTAAATATGTAAACCATACATAAAAATCATATATGAACCATACATACAAATTATATGTAAACCATACATACAAATCATATGTAAACCATACACACATATTATATGTAAACCATTCATACATATCATATGCATCGCATGTAAGGGCATACACACCGTCTTATTGTTTGCGTCGCCTGTACTTTGCGAATCCTCTTCGGTTTCTGCCAACGCCGCCACTTCACTCCACGGCGCTGCCTTGCGCCATATCAGTACCTATGCAAATATAGTTGTAGGGTTTGGGGGGTTAGGGTTTTAGGATGAATTGGAGGGAATTGTTAGAAATAGTACCCACGGGCGAAAGGAGTGGCCGTGTATCGGTTCATCCGGTATGGACACATACCATATACTTATGTGATACGATTACTAAATAGTACATACTATACACCTATATCATACAACAACCAATTAGTACATACTATACACCTACGTTATACAACAACTAATTAGTACATACTATAAACCTATGTAGTACAACAACTTATTAGTACATACTATACACCTGTGTAATACAACAACTAATTAGTACATACTATAAACCTATATTATACAACAACTAATTAGTACATACTATACACCTATATTATACAACAACTAATTAGTACATACTATACACCTATACAACAACTAGGTGACACTTACTATATACTTATATGTACACTCGAAACTAGAATAACACTTAAGCATCAGTAAAAATTCCAATACATAAGCGCGCAATGACTTTTCTAAACCGAAGGCGCATAGACCCAACACATACAACAGATCACTTGAAGAAAGCGCTATCATTTCAGTTTGTGACGTTCTCGCACTCCCATATATATTAAGGAAGTCAATACAAATACGTATGTAACGGGGTAGTTGATCAACTTGTGTACGTAACGAGGTAGAAGAGGAAACTATGTCTATCACGAGGATGTTGAATAAAGAGACGGAGTAGGTAATTCACTTACGTATATGACGAGGTAGTTGATTACCTTGTGCACGTAATAAGGTAGGAGAGAAAATGTTGAATATTACGAGGACGGCGAATAACGAGATAAGTAGGTATTTTACTTACGTATATAACGAGGTAGTTGATTGTACAGAGGAAGATCCAGCCCTGACTGTCCTCAAAAAGCCCCACGAACACAAATTGGATCACAATTAAAATGGACAGGGCCTGTGAAGAGATGCATTAGGAAAATGATAGGTGGGCGGATAAGCATGATGAAGGATGATTGAATAAACAAGGAAGAAAAAGAATGTTTAGATTTAAATGAACAAGGAAGACAAAAGATGTTTAGGTGAACAGGGAAGACAAAGAATGTTTAGGTGAACAGGGAAGACAAAGGATGTTAGGTGTACAGGGAAGACAAAGGATGTGTAGGTGAACAGGGATGACAAAGGATGTGTAGGTGAACAGGGATGACAAAGGATGTGTAGGTGAACAGGGATGACAAAGGATGTGTAGGTGAACAGGGATGACAAAGGATGTTTAGATTTAAATGAACAAGAAAGACAAATGATGTTTAGGTGAACAGGGAAGACAAAGGATGTTTAGGTGAACCGGGAAGACAAAGGACGTTTAGATGAACAGGGAAGACAAAGTATGTTTAGGTGAAAAGGGAAGGAATAGATGGGCAGCCATGCATACGATGGAGCGGCCAGAGAAAACCAAACACACTACACAAACCCGACAGATCAAAGCAATGGCTCAGGTAAAACCCTAAACCCCTAACAACTAAACGAAAGAATGTACATGGCTATAAGCAAATAGCCATAACGCCAACAACCTCATAAATAGCACACCCTAAAACCCAAAAACGAAGTGTGATGCCACGCCATGAGCGCAGAGTATGTGGTGGTGAGTGTGGGCCTCTGCGTAGGCGTAAAGAGTGCGCATAGTTGTAGTGAACGAGCGGAGTTTACGTACTCAGCGGGATACCTCAGAGCTACGTATCATACTATTCAAGCTAAACTCTAAACCTTAAACCCTTAACCCAGTCTATGCGGATGACTCACACCTGAAGGTAAAACACGACTTACCCAATAAGAACCGCCGAAGTACCTGAAGGCCTTCTGTAGCCTGTCAAGACATGTCAGCAGAGGATACGAAATGGATGAGTCATCAAAACAAATATACATTAAGTAACAGAGACCACAATGGTAGGGGCCGCACTTGGGACCATTGGTCACAAACAAAAACCCAAACAACAGGCAAACAAACAAGTCTTTATTAAGCAACAGAGACCACAATACTATGGGCCGCACTTGGGACCATTGGCCACCAACACAGCCATCCACCAAGCTAACATAAAACCCTAAAAACCCAAACAACAGGGAAACAAACACGTCTATATTAAGTAACAGAGACCACAATGCTATGGGCCGCACTTGGGACCATTGACCACAGACACAGCCACCCACCAAGCTAACATAAAACCCTAAAAATCCAAACAAAAGACAAACAAACAGGTTTAGAGGTAAACAAGCCACCCACCAAGCTAACAGACAAACGTACACGTCTAGAGGTTATGCGACAACATACAGTTGCAGAGACGGAATAAAGCAGTACAGCAGAGGGCACGTGTGGTGTGTGACGGTCATCTGACGCATCAACGACACAGTGACACAGTAGAGAGTTACGAACCCGATAGCCAGCGTAACAGCAACAACCACCAACTACTGCACAGCAGTTTCACGTACTCTTGATGACGAACAAGCGGAGCGTTCTATCGAGGCTGCACGAGGGCAAATACACTCGAGACATAACACCTACCAACCACTTTCCACTTGCATGACATACCAAGTACTTTACACCTGCATGACACAACAAGTACTATACACTTGCATGACATACCAAGTACTTTACATCTGCATGACATACCAAGTACTTTACACTTGCATGACATACCAAGTACTTTACACTTGCATGACATACCAACTATTTTACACGTGCATGACATACCTGTATGTGAATATCCACGAGGTTACTCGCTTCTCAATCAGCAGCTTATGTTCGTATGCGAAGAAGGCGTAACTTTTCACGACCTGCCCCAAACACAACGTAACAAGCGATGAGGGACAGTGAACAGTTCATATCAAAGTGCAATATGAAAAGTGATACCCAATACGTAGGCGTTATGAGTACAGGCATTCATCCACTATGCCATTCTTAACAGTGCACGGGTGGTATCAATGTGTGCCGAATGGTCGACATTCTTATACTTAGACGCAGTATTCCTTGATATTTGCTATAGATGAAGGATGCTTGGTTGTTCATTTGCCCACAACGCACACAATTTTGAACGGCAGGTGCTATTTGCGGCCATAGTGTTACGACCGCACACTATGAAAAGGTATACAGACCCGATAAGTGGGCGATGACTAGCAATAACAACGTTACACAACTAGCACTAACACCGACTAGCACTAACAACGCTACACGCGCACGAGACAGCTGTCCCAACACACAGCCCGTACTACAACTATTGACAACAACTACGTTTCCACGGATGGTCACTCTAGGTTGGTAGTTATCAGTGCAGAGCACACCCATGAAATAAACGTACATAACACAGTGCAGAGTACCCATGAAATAAACGTACATAACACAGTGCAGAGTACACCCATGAAATAAACGTGCATGACACAGTGCAGAGCACAATCATGAAATAAACGTACCTAACAAAGTGCAGAGTACACCCATGAAATAAACGTGCATAACACAGTGCAGAGCACACCCATGAAATAAACGTACATAACACACACCTCCGACAGCGGAACGGGTTTGAACCGCACTACCAGCAGCCTCCTCCAGTTCTCTCGCACATGGCGTATGGCCAAGATAACGAAGTTAAGAAACTCCATGAACAAGCGGACCAGGGACAGCACCATGCCCACCATCACAGCCGAAATCACCCAGTACGCAAAGAAGTCACCGGTCATGGCTAAGCCTACCACTATGGGCACGACATCTACCAGACCAAGGACAATCAACAAGGTCAGAGAGAAGCATGTGAAAGAGAATAAATTAAAACTCAAGCAACAACAGTACAGACATCGGCTGCACGAGGGTTTATCGTATGCAAAACGAAAATGTAGTGGCCAACACATACACACCGCGTGACAAGCTACCCTTCCTTGAGCTTTAGTATATATATATATATATATATATATATATACATCTAGTTGGTAGGGTTGTAGTAGTG